TGGCTAGGAGAATCCAAGAAGATTGGGCCCATAATGAGGTTAATGAGCTTAAGCTCATTTTGAGCTACAGACTACTAAATATATAAGCCCAATATCTTTTATGTACTTGTGTATAATTTTCTTATTTTAGGCTTGTATTTTTGGCCAAGTACACTAGAGATTTCCATGTATTTTCTTTTGTGTGTAAATATTGGACATAGTAGGTGCAACTAACATTTGGATCAAGGATTAACACTTGAATGAATTAAACTACTCACATGGTCTACCAAGTGGAAAGGTGAACATGGAGTAGCTTAATTCAATTCAAATATTAATCACATGATGGCAAACTAGTCACGCCTTCCTTACTTGCCACATGGCATTGCCTTATAGGCTTATTTGAATTTAGGAACACATGATGGTAAGTTGAAGCCAAATTTTGAATTCAAATTCTAGGCACCTAGCTCACCCTTATTATGCAACCATGATTCATTCTGAATAATGCTTAGCCTAACTTGCTCCATAAGCTACCTAGCCCAATAAATTTCCTTCTCTTGTAATTTCATGCCACTTTTGAGCTCTTACATGAATCATTTATGAAATTTCTTTTCAAATTTCTCTTGTTTTCTCTAAGGATAATTCTACCTCCTTAAGTTCTTTCATATAGAAAATCCTTCTTGTGGTAAAAACATCACTTTTTGCTTATATTTTCTCAAGGAAGGTGGTGCACCTCTAACTCTTTTTCTCTTCATTTGTTTCATTTTATTTGATGATTTGATCCATGGAAGAAGCTTAATAAGGAGTTAGGATTCAAGTTTAGAAAAAATCGCCAAACATTTCAACCTTGAATTCCATTATTATGATACAATCAAATTTATATAGTCGAGGAGTATGTTCACAAAATAACCTTAAATTGTCCTAAGGGCATTATTATTTTTGAGTGGGTGGTTATGTCATTTGGATTAAAAAACATCGGGGCTACATGATAAAGGGCTATGAATCTAGTTAATATTTCATTATTTGATTGACACGAGTGTGGAAGTTTCTATAGATGTAATAACAAGTCATCTGATTTTTTATGGTCATTTGTGGAGTTCACCTTTGAGGAGTTCAAAAAGGTATTGGCATCCCCCTGCAAGTTGATACCACCATTAGATGTGGGGCATTTAAAGTTATATATATTGGCAGCAAAAAAATCCATTAATTGTTTACTATTTTAGGAAGCTAAAGATGGTTTAAAGAGTTGTTTATTATTTGAGTTTGCTCTTGCAAGATAAACTTCAGTATACAACTATAGAAAAATTATGTTTATCTTTGTATTTTGCTTGTATTAAATTGGAATGTTATCTATAAACCCACAAAATATTGCATATTAAGATGTTATTCATGACTGCTTTATCTTGTTTTATGATTAGGTTTTGGAAAAACTTCATTTTTCTTGTTAATTGTGCAATAAATAGGAAAAATACTTACAAAATTGAAATTAGTATACTTAAGGGACTAATAAGAACAAATTTGAACTTTGAAGCTATGCATAGTCATGCTTGATTGAAGCACAATTGTGTTTCAAGAGGAAGCACGACCATATTTGCCAATATGCACGATTTGTGCCTCCCCATGGAGCATCCTAGTTGAGGAAGTATGCCCTTGGTTACTAAGAATGACTGTATTACTAATATGTATAATTGTGCTTGAAAGTTTGCTCTAATTTTGACTATAAGTAGGGATATCCAAATCATATTTTAATCATCTAATTTTAGTTCTAATCTTTAGATTTTTTTCTTTCTTTTTGTTTTCCTTGTTGAGATTTTGTAAGAAGCTAAAAGTCAAACTCTCTTGAGAATGATTCTTCCATTTACAATTGATTCTCTTTTCCTTTGTTTTGTGAATTCTAGTATCATGTTAGGTTATTTACATATCGTGTTTGGTGGCTAGTTTTCATGTTTTAGGGTTGTGATGTAATTGTTCATCATAAACCCCTAATGATGAATTGAATGAATTGTTTTTGGTATTATTGTATTATTTGAGTATTTCATACTCTTATCTCTTTCAATTCAAAATGCATTATCAAACTCTTTTGGTTAATATAACCCTTAAATAATTTAATCTTAAAAATTTGCACGATCAAACTTATTTCTTAGTTTCTAATTGAATTAATTTTATTAATTAATTCGCTTCTATGCTTTTATGTTTTTGAATGGATAAACTTCTTATAATCATTTTGAGATTTTCTTGAAACAAAGGTTGTTGACTTACTTAAATAAGGATCGTTAACAATTTCTAGAGTAAATTGACAACAATGTTTTAGAATTTGTGAAATTTATCTTGAGAGGAATGAAAGATAATAAGTCACAATTTTAAGGTTTTTAATCTCTAAATTTCAATCAATCTATTTTTTACTTGAAATTCATAAATTGCTATCACATTCTGACTATCAATCTTATTCCTTCAAACTTGATGGAGTCTTGATTGATGTCAACTCCATGGAACCTTCAAACTTCTCTTCTTGGATGTCCTTGAACAATTGTTCAAGGAAGAGATTTGGCCAAGTTGAGGCGCCAATGAAGAACAAGGAGAACTAAGCTCCTTAAGTAGAAGAAGTGAGATCACCTAGAACTACAAAGAGGATAGCTCAAGGTAAATTGGAGATAGCACTCTCCTTTAGTGACTTCGATATAGAGAAAAGGATTTTAAGAAGAAGAATTTTCTCATTCAATTGCCAAAGTGTCTACAAGCAACGGTCATAGAGAATTTATAGGCCTAGGAAGTGTGTGTGACAAGCTAGGCTTAACCTAAGTTTAAATTAAACCATGGTATGATTTAAGTTAACCTTAGGTGCCAAAATTTGAATTCAAATTCAAATTTTGGAGTCCGGCCATGCGTTTGATCCATTTGCATGTTATTTGGTGTGCATTTGGGTGGCATTTGAGTCATGCCATGTGCGCCTTCCTCTAGGCTGGATCACATGGGTCAAATGCAACTTAAATGCATACTAAATGGCATGTAAATGAATTAGCACATGTGCTTAACTAACCTAATCTTAAATTAATGGCCGAAAATTACAAGGTCCAAATCCTATACTACTTGGCCAAAAATACAAGGCCCAAAAACAAGAATTACAAGCCCAATGGGCTAAACCTAATCTACATGGATTTTAATGTGTAGCTCAAGTAAAAAGAATTATGGACTTTTCCTTAGTACTGGCTCATTCTTCATGCATTAGTTAGGCCTTTGCCCCATGAGCATCCATCAAAACTTCTTAAAGTTAAGATTAAATTGATAATTATTTGAACTTACTTCTTTGATTCCATATCTAAATTTTATCCATTATTATTATTACGATAAAACACGATTATCTTTAAACATATTTTATATGCAACATTATATTTTTTTTGCAAAGAGATCTATGATGTATGTAAGATTGATGTAATGAAATGGGCCCACAAATTATGAGTTCTTCACTTAATTATTTAACTTTAAAGGCAGTCAACGATCGAGCTTTGGCTGATTTCTTGGCACAACATCGCTGGTTAGACACCCAAGATCCATTTGATAGAACAATATCATAATTGGCAACCAAACATTATGTTTGAAGGATTTAAAACAGACATAGTCGCAGGGGCAGACCTTGTCATACTAGCCCTAATAATCAAATAAGAAAGTTTACTTGTGAACTACCGTACCAGCCGATTGTTCCAACAATCGGGATGAATATATGAGCCCTAACCCTTAATTTTAGGTTTAAAAATATAGTTAGCCACAGGGGTTGCATCAATTGAAGGGTTAGGTTATTAACAACTAGTGGTTATATGAAACTGTCGCCCAATTATTAAAATAGTTTACGGATGCTAAGTTCTTGTATTTCCCAGGGAAGAAAACCAAGACGCAAAAGACTTGGCCCAACACGCCTCTATTTTTAACATCTTAGAGGCACCCAACAAAGCTGATGTTTTCTGGTAGAACAATTGTTTTAGACACCAAGTCAGATTGGAGGCAACAATTGTCATCATATTTAGAGAATCCGGCTAAGGCAATCCTCATGTTAAAAAGGAAAGCGCTAAAATAAGTGTATTAGATGGAGTTAAAAAGGAAAGCGTTATCATGGACGGCTAATTTAATTGTACTCACTACACTAAAATTAATTTGTGTGACAATTAATTTATTCTTTATCAGCCATATAAATGACTACTATTATTTTTACCAGCATAATGGCTGGTGTATCCAGGGTTGCTAATATTATTATCAGTATTTATATAAAATGCTGGTAAAGACCTACTAAATTATCGAAAAAACTTATTCTTTTTTAGTAGTAATTCTAGTAGTCATTTTAAAAGCTATTAAAAGTTATTTTACCTATATTTCTAGTTGTCTTCTATTTATATAACTGATGTGGGATTTGTAAGATAAAAGTTATCTTCTATTTATATATTTTTTAATTGCCTTGTCTCTTAAGAGATGTGAGATTTATAAGGTAACAGTGAGTGATTTGATATCAATTTAGAATAGTAAATTAGGAGTCTAACTCAACTTTATAATATCAACTTATATGATGATAGTTGTTACCCACTATATATACTATCTAATAATCTTATTTCTAATTAATGTGAGACTTAAGTTTTTTCTAATAAATAATTGTCGCTAATAATAAACTTTAGTATAATATAAATACATTTTTAGTGACTATTATATATTAATTATTAATATTTTTATTATATAATTAAATAACGATAATTAAATTATTATCATTAAATAATTCTCTTTAATAACAAATTTTGTTATAGTAACTATTACTAATCAATCTTATTATTAGTTTGACTTTTAATGGACATGTTATAAAAATCATGGTAATTCCGTTAACCATAATGCATAACAAGTTAACAACCTATCTACTTTACTGCAACGTGCCACTTTCCTCAAAAACCTAGTATCTTTTATCTATCTCAAAGTACACGTAAAATTTTAAAAGCAAAATCTTTAAAAACAAAAGTGAACTCAAGAAGAAGAACATTGACATGCGGTGTTCAAGGTTCTTGAGTTTGGGGAGGGGAGGAGCACCCGGGTGATCGGGGTTGAACGAAGCCACAATTACTACAAGGTTCAGCATCCTTAAAACTCGCACAGCTCCTCGTACAATTATGCCTCACTCTCAAAACATGCTCCGGCAACCTCAATGTATACTTATCATCACCCTTCCCCTCACCCTCCTCGTCTCTAATCAAAACTATCGAGTGCCCCGTGGAGTGCGACCGTACAAACGTTTGTTCCGGTTGAAATTGAATTTCATGTCCACCTTCTGCAGCCTCTTCTCCTTGTCCTTGTCTTTGATTTTTATTGTTGTTAATGTCGTTATTATTGTTATTGTCATTGTTGTTATTATTATCATTGTCTTCTCTCACGTCTATCCTAACGTCCTGGTTGATGGACGTGACCAGGACGTCCTCTGGGTCGACGAGCTTCTGCGGCTCGTCGACAGCTGGGTGGTCAAGGTCACGTCTACAAACGGGACAGGTCTTGTGGGAGCGGAGCCAGAGGTCGATGCAGTCCTGGTGGAAGACGTGGCAGCAGAGGGTCAAGAGGCGGAGCATGTTGTCGTCCTCGAACTCGAGCAAGCAGATGGCGCATTCGAGGCTGTACTTCTCCTTGCGGAGGCCCTTGACGGAGGAGTAGGGGAAGGTGGGGAAGAGATGGAGCAGGGAAGGGTCGAGGCCCCGAGGGGGGGAGCGGTGGGGCGTGAGGCGAACGAGGGAGCCCGATGCGGTGCGTTGGAAGGCCCACGTTTGGATCACGCTGGTGAAGCAGTACTTGCACAAGTACACGATGCTGAAGGCCACGAAGCACACCACCAGGATGCCAAGCGTGAAGGCTATCAGCGCCGGCGGGGTGTTGTACGGCGGAGCGGCCGGTGCCATTTCGTACTCCGACGTGGACATGGCCGCGGCGACGACGACGACGGGAACGAACGGAGGACTGAGGGCTCCGGGACTGCCTTATTCCGGACCTTTCCTTCTTCGTTGTTTGCATGGAGGAGAGGGGTTTGAGTTCATACAAGGGGGGCGAATGAAGCTTGGTAATGTTGTTTCTTTTTCTTTTTCCTTTTTTCTCTTTTTTTTTTTTTTTCTTTTGTTGCTGTTGTTGTTACTTTTTATTTATTTTTTTTGGTTGAGGTGGGATTCTAGAGGACAAAATGTAAAGAGAGAATCAAGGAGGTATGTCAATGGTTTTCTATGAGTAGTAGATGGTGAGTGGGGTGGGTTGGTTTTGAGCGAGTCCTTATGACAAGGACCACAAGACTAGTGTCTGAACACCATTTATTCACTTTGTGTGTTTATAATGCATGAATATGTAGACTGTTTGATGTGTGTAAGGAAAGCCAATATTTATTCACCCTGTATGCTTTTTTACAAAAAAATAATTAAAATTTACAATAAACATTTTTTAGTATTAAAATTTATATTGTATTTAAAATTCACAATAAACATTTTAAATTATAATATAAAATTATTTGTAAATATTGACAGTCTTAATTTAATTATATATTTAAGTTTAATTGAAAAATTAAGATTAAAAAATTGTTTAGAAGATCAAGTATACACATAAAAATAAAAGGATGGTAGTTTGAAATGATTAGGAGTAACTTTTTAACTAGTTAGGAGAATTTCACAAAATAAAAACAAAAAATGGTTATGAGAATAATATATGGAATACACATTTTAAAAAATATATATTGAAAGTATTTAATTAAAAGAATGAAGAGAAATCTTCAAATTATTTTAGTATAGGGTTGTTCTCTAAATTTTATATTTCAATGAAAAAAATGTATGGTACCTTCGATTTTTTTTATAATTTTTTTGGCATCAGAAACTCCCTTCCGTGCCCTCTCTCCCCGTTAGTATGCCTAAACTCAAATATTTATCGACTCAAAAAATAACTACCAAAATTCTTAAATTTCTCTGCTCTCTCCCCTTATGTACCAAAATTCTTGAATTTCTCTGGATACTATTGCAACTCTTTAATTTACATCATATTATACGCTACTCGAGTTAAAAGATAATTCCAGTAGTTCACAAAGAATGTATATTTATTGTGTTGGATAAAAGGACTATAACGCTAATTTATCTCTTCCTATTTATTTGTTGAGCCCAACCAAAACCCAAGGAAAGAAAAAAGACTAACGACACCTGAACACCCTTTTACTACTACAGTTATTATCTCTCCAGGTATCAAGTAGCATTCCAGAAGATATGACAATCAAACGAGACCGAAATTGCTTGTAACTAGTCAAATTTGAGTCATTCCAATCCAGAAAACTATTTAGTGTGACATCAATATGGAAAATAATAAAGGGGTTTTCATTGCAACAGGGAAACGTGATCCTCTACGCGGTAGCAAAACAATCCCAACGAAAAAGATCTTGTTAAAATAACAACTACGGGATACCATCGGATGCAAATACAAGGAAGCTATTGCTACATTCAGACGCCAGAGAAGCAGCGTATTAAGGGAGGTGAATACGCCACCTAACATAAACGTACAATACAAAACAGTTATAGGAACTAAAGTGCTATTCCCATTGGAAGTTAAGGATCATAAGATAATTAGCTAATAAAATAACATGTGAAATGAAAATCTTTGCGTATTCAATCTCATGGTAATACATAAGCCGCATCAGTCGTTTCCATGACTGGGATTATAACTCTATTCGATGTCATCAATCCAATCACCGTATATCCTACTGATTTTATCTGGACCTTTCCACTTATGATGAGTTCTCTGTCCTGGTCTCTGAATCACAATGGAAGGCCTTTGTGACGGGACTCCAATATGATACACATCAGAATGAGCAACAGGGGTAGCTGCTGCAACCACATTATCAGCAGAAGCTTTTGAAGGCACTCCCTTATTTGTGTCAGTTGAAACCGCAGAAGCAGCATCTCTATTTTCTCCTTCCATAAGACCACCTCCATATCTGTGCAACTCTGGTTACAATATCAAAGTTAGATGTGTATGAAAATGGCTTACTGGTTACTAGCCACATTTCTGACACAAAAACAATTCAAGCCAGCAAAATGCTGGTATGTGCAAACATCAGAAAATGTTCTCAAATGTACTACACAAGGCAAAGCAGCAATTCACTGAAAGTGCAAAACAGTATCACAAGCAGTCCCACGCAGATATTCAAATACTGTGGATGAACATTTAAGAGGTAACAATAAGTACAGCATGATTTAGTTTATGTTTCTCACACGGTTTTGCATTCTCCATGAAACTTCCTAATTATATTTATTAAATTACTAAAAGATTAAATATAATACTTATTTGCCTTTGCTTCTGATCTTTTACACCATGTCATTTATTTTATTTAAAATCAGAAAGCAGCACAATTTGTTGATTTGGAAGCCAAAATATATATATTTTAATACGGTATGTGATGCTCCCAATATAAATTTATTGAGGAGGAAAATAGATTGCCAAATTTAATTCATCTGTTGCATTTCTTGTTTCTCAACTGTCTGTTGCACTGCCCTAAGTTAACCATGTTTCAGTATCCTGAGAGGTACTACCCAGCTTAACTGTAAGTCTGTATCCTGAGAGATACTATTTAGTTGGAGAGAACCCAGTGTTTGAGTTGTTACCTAAATCAGCTTCTTCTCATTAGGTCTTGCTCCACTTGTAAGTATCTCAAAGGACAGATTATTAGCATGTGTCTTTTAACAAAGTTTCCTTTCCTTTAGTGAGGCTTCCTCTGTGTACACTTTTCTGAGAGCTATAAGGAAGTAAGCGGTGCCCTTTATTCATTCTGAACCCGGTACTTGTGAAACTACACTTTTCTGATCTCTTTCGAACAGTGTTTTTTAATAGAAAAGGAAACTCAGATATTTAAGCATGCAAATCATAGGAAAAGTCATAGCAATCTCAAATTAGGAAACACATTGTCAAGTAAAGGATACTTGGAAAAAAAGAGAAATCCATATCTCCAAACTTCAAACTTAAAATGTTGTTCTCTAGCTGTAGATTTTCAGTTCTTTGTTATGTCTTTCATTGTGCAAAAATATAAGGAACCATGCATTCCCCTGGTCATAAGCATGTTTCTCTGGTATGCAAACATACTGTAACAAAACATTCCCAAAATTACTCAAGTTGCCACAACATGCTTCAATAATATGCTTAATGAAATACATGTATATCAAATTAATAAAAGACACATGTAGTCATGCCATACCCTTCAAATAAAATCAACAGAAACTATTGCTCTACTGACCATATTAGAAAAGGAAATCTAACATACATCAAGTGTCACCAACATACAGATTTTGCATCCAACAATTAGAGTTTCCAATTCTAGCAGCATTACGGGGTTGTACCTGTGCTACCATGAGCAAAATGGCATTTGTTGCCAAAGGGGCAATACCCAGTCATCTCCCACTTATTGCAAATCCTGGTTTTCCAATTAGAGGGCTTCGAATTGGGCCCATTCCCAGCAGCACTCGCCGCCGCACCGCCGCCGCCGCTACCACCACCCCCACCCCCACCCCCACCACCACCATTGCTACCGCCGCCACCAGCATAGCCACCAGGGCCCAAACTGATGGCGACACTCTCGCGGTTCTTGGATTGCTCATCGTGAAGAAAGGTGCAACTATCGCCATAGGGGCACCCTTCCTCGGTGTAGAACTTCTTGCAATGCCTGCCCTTGTAGGAGCGCTGCATCATGTCGCCAGCAAAGGTGGAGGAGCCAACGGTGGGAATCTGAAACTCCTCCCGGGGCTCCGTCAGGACGGCCTTCTCCTCCTCGTGCGCCGCCACGATCTCCTGCCAGTTGGGCGGAGGGCGGCGGAGCTCCTCGATGCTGTGGGCGAAGTTGCAGTTGGTGATGTAAGGGCACGTGCCAGCCCTGAACTTGCAGCAAAGCTTCGTCTTGAAGAACATCTTCCCAATCGCCTTCGACCGGTTCGAGTTCCCCTCCTGCTGCGAGTTCCGCGACTTCTTGCTCGGAGGCTCGCTCCCCGAACGCGACCGCGCCTCGTAATTCGAGTTCGACGCCGTCGTTTCGCCCTCCCCGTTGTTGCCGCTGTTCCAGAACCGGTACTCGTCCTCCGTCGCCCAATCCGCCTGCTCGCCGGACCAGCTGTCGCCGCCGCCGCCCCCTCCCGAGGCGGCGGCGATTATTTGCACCACGTTCCCCTCTCGAGCGTAGTCCATTTCTCGCGAACGAGGCAAAACCCTAACCAGATTTTGACCTCGGGGCTCTCTCTTTCTTTTGCTCCTCTGCGGAGACGCACGTTTCGGAAAATCCGATGAAACGGTGACGTAACTGGTAGCTACCTAGGAGTGTTCGAACAGAGCTGGGGAATCCGACATAGACAAACGGATTTTTTTTTTTTTCCTTTCTTTTCTAAATACCCTCTTATTGGAAAATCCTGTTTGATATCTAAGATAGATCCTGTTGAGGATGAAAGGGTGTTGGAGGAACAATGGAGTGTGAAAAAATGGCAAAATTTGGTGCAAGATTCACATCAGCTTCACAAAAGGAGTTAATTTATGGCTCCGACCTGAAACTAGATCTGAGGGCACTGCGGTGAAGAAAATGAGAACAAAAACTGTCAAATATTTGTAAGAGAGAGAAAATAATTGAGAAGAAATTGGATTTTCAAAATGTGTAATCTAGAAGAAGTGTTCGAAGTTCGAACTAGAATGAGTTAGAGGATTTTTTTTACCTGGTTGGTTGTATTTGCTGTGGACCGAACGGGAGTGGAGAAACCCAAGCATTTATTTATTTATTTTGAAGGCTAAGATTGCCTCTTAGCTATGCAATGAGCTGAGATATGGTTACGAGAGAGTTGACGATTTATGCATTTATAAATGGTACGGAAAAACGAGAGATTGCTCTCCTTAATGTTTGTCCATTCATAGGCATATTTTTTATGGTAGTTCAATGCACATTAAATATTAAATTAATTTTTTCTATGATTATACTTTGATTATTATTTTAAGTTAGTTAATTTCATATTTATGATAGTAAAAGCGAATAGTAAAGGAGAAATAAAAATAATAAAGGTTAAAGATGTACTTTTAATCTTTTTATAATATTAAATATATAATTATGATGTTTGAATTTTTAATCCTATAAATTTGATGTTCATATTTATAAAATTCGTAATTTTGATCTATTGTTAAATATTTATTTATTGATTTGATATCACATAAATGACACAATAATTAATATTTAATAATATTTGGACTAAATTTTATTTTATTTTAAAATTAGGTAAAAATAAGATGAATTTTTTTTTTGGTAAAAGTGAGAACTTAAAGTATAATTTAGTTCAAATATTATTAATATTAAATATTATTTCCATAATAAACATCGTCCTAAGTTATTTTCTACAACTTAAAAAAAGTTATTAAATAAATAAAATAGAATAAGAATTTTACAAAATTAATCTCATGATTAATCTCCTTTGTTAGAAATGATGCAATACAAAATCACTTTCAAGAATATTGTTAGGGATATAAATAGAAAATAGATACTTAATACAACATTAAAAAGCTAAAATGACATTTATTTTGAGACTTTTTACTTCAACTATGACACTTATTATGAGATAGAGGTAGTAGTTATTACGCCATATGCATGATGTTAGGTCATGATTAATGTTATAATTTTAATAATTAATAAAAGAACATTTAGGGACTGGATTGAAATTACAAATTTTATAAAATCGAAAAATTAAACTTGCATAATTAAAAAATTAAAGGACTAAAGTTGTAAAATTGATATTATATAAAAACTAAAAATGAAATTTAGTCAAAAATAAAACAAAATAATTTAATTACAATTTTATTCCTCATCAATCACACCTAACTTTTATTCAAAACTATTATTATTATTATTATTATTATTATTATTATTATTATTATTATTATTATTATTTTACAATTCGGATAAAATAACATAATTTCTTATACATCTACTTTAACCTCTACTTTTATGCTTGGACTTGTTAAGAATTACTAGTAGAAGATCTTCGGTCATCGATCCTCAATCCTCATAATTGAAAGCAGTGGTTGTACCTACAAAAAGAACTTCAATGTCAAAATCAGCGAGTAATTAGAGTTTTTTAGGTGTTGTGTGTAAAGTTATGTACCTGGTGTTAAATCAAAAGACGATCTTACATCCTTCAAGTTTTGGAGTTTTAATGTTAACAAACGAAACATTTTCACAAGAGAAAATATTTATTGAACAAAGTGTAAGACATAGATCGTTTGTAAAATAATGTGAATCAGGCGAAGCATACAATTTGTCTCATATATATTAAATGTTCATTACTTATTAGTAATAATGACAACATTCATTTGCATGTCTTATTCCTTAATAGATCGAACTAGAGAATCATCTTGGAACTCACAAATCTATTAAAGAGTACAAGATCATGTTTTTCGTCAAAACCAAAGGTGAATATCCTTGAAATAACAAAAAAAAGTAGATATAGTCATTGTTGTTATTGCAATGCGTTGACATTGTTTCTACAAGATTTGTTTGGTATGGAAAGATGATAAGCAGTTTCCTTAATTATATAAGAGGTACCATTTGGTGAAATGCATTTAATGTTTGTATTAAATGAGTAAACAATTACCTCCTATCACAAGGAAAGACGTTGAAGATAGACAAAAAAAACTTGTGAGTTGGACTCAAAGTGTTGCAACGGTCATCTTCTCCAAAGTTACTATATAAGAATATTCAAATCTCAATAAAGAAGATAAGAGACTTGTATAGAAACATACACAAAGAAACACACTTTGTAAATCATAATGGTGTATAAACTTTATTCTTTCTTATAAAAAGCTCAGTGCCCCATATTGGTTGTATAACATCTAAGTGAGACAAAAAGCAACATTTTTGCAACCTTTATAACCATTGTTATAAGGTTATATCTGAAGAGGCTTGTCCGTAAAATAATACTTGATTGAGCCTAGAGAGACTTGATTGAAAGAATACTTGACTGTTAAGTTTGAAGAGGCTGGTTGTTAAAAAAATACTAAGATAGAGGCAAGTCAAAAAATATTTAGGGTGAGCCAAAAGTAGCTTGTTGAAAGAATACTTGTATCTTTGTTGAAAGATAGTGAAACTCAATTTGGTTAAATTGAGAACTGGATATAGTCTTGGTGGTTAAGATAAACCAGTATAAAAAATACCTAGTGTTTCGTTTGACTTCTATTATCACTCCATTTGACTAACATTACTACTTCACTACATAAAAGTGTGAGTTTTTTTATACACATTATTCAACCCTCGTTCTAGTATTTATCTTTTCTCCACAATTTGGTATAAAAGCTTAACCTTTGATGGGGTTGAGCATCTGACCGTGCTAAAAGAGAAAGATTCACTATGGAACATAGTGAAGGATAGTACCTACTATAAGGAGTCTCTCTCACAAGGCCTCCTACCTTTAATGGAGAGGGATACCCATATTGGAATGATAGAATGGAGATGTTAATCCACCCAATCCATCCTCTGAAGACTTATCCTCAAGGTGATATTATTGTTACCAAGATTGAGAGTGAATACAATCAGGATGACTACAACACATTACAACTCAACACCAAAGCAAGATATATCCTTGCTTGTTCTTTGTCCAAAATAGTGTACAACAAGTTATGCAGCTACTCAATGGCTAAGGAAATGTGGGATACCATTAGGTAAATCATGAGAGTACTAAAGATGTAAGGTTCAAATGAGCTACTACACTTCAAAGACATTATGAGTTGTTGTTCTCCATGAAGAAAAATAAGTCCATTAACAAAATGTTTGGAAGGTTCCAAACAATTTTGAATGGATTAAAATCCCTGGTAACTAAGTTTTTCAAAGCTCAAAACAATCTCAAGATCTTGAATAGTCTTCCAAAGATACGGGAGTACAAGGCCATAGCTATCTTAGAAGCACACAATCTGAAGTTTCTCATTCTTGATGAACTTCTTGGAGCTCTTTGTGTTCATCAAGTTCATTTGAACAATAGAGACCATCCCAAAGCAAATGACACCATTGCTTTAAAAGGTAGCGAGACCAACAAGAGAAGGGAGAAAGGGAAAACTTTGAAGGCAAAATCCGAGTCAAGCAACTTATATGAAAGTTCTGAGATCACTCCACAAATGATGAGATATCTCTCATGTTTAAGAAGTTCAAGGACATGTTGAAGAAGAAATGAAGATTGAAAAGCTTCCATAAAAAGAATGATAGGTTCAGAAAGCCTAATTAGACTAACAACAAGGAGGTTGCCTACTATGAGTGCAAAAAGCCTGGTTACATGAAGGCTGGTTGCGCATCTCAAAGGAAAAAATGGTCCTCCAAAAAGAGCCTAATGACCATTTGGGAAGATTAGGACAACAATAGTTTAGATAATGAGAAAGCCAACATATGCCTCATTACAGACATTGAGTCAGACACTATTAACACTGAGGTAAAATTTGACTTAATACTACATTAAAAAGCTAACATAATGTTTATTTTGAGACTTTTTTCTTCAACTATGACACTTTCTATGGGATAAAGGTAGTGATTATATTGACATATGCATGATGTTAGGTCATGATCAATGTTGCAATTTTAACAATTAATAGATAAACATTTGCCTTCCAAATACACCATCATTTTAGTAGTTGCATCAAACATAATGATGGCGGGTTAGAGGCCATATGATTGCATAAGTGTGAAACGCCTTGGGAACATGGAATGTCATGTCCATATCCACCGTTGATTTTAGAGAGATCTAACGATTCATAAAGGTGTGATGTTTTACTTCCCGGGTCTCTTCTCATATATAAATAAGGTCTTTTAGTCCTCAAAATGATTCACCTACAACCTTCGCCCTCTAAGAACTTTGAGCAGTAGTTTTTCTACTTACCCAATTCTCTAAAAGTTGAGTACCAAGTAGGTACATCCTCCTTTCTAGCTTTCTATGAGTTCCAGCATCAGTGTAGAATTTCCTTTTCTAGGCAAAATGAAAGTTAATGTAATTAGTTCATTTTCTTCCCCCTCATCCAGAAACTTCAAGAACTCTTCTTCACATTCCCATCTGTCTTTGTCCTCTACACCCATTAATCCTAGTGTCTTAATAATGCCCCTTAAGGTAGATCCTTTCCAGTTGATTGTTGTGGTACATCGGCTAGTTGAGGATGCTTCAGCTAAGAACACAATGGCAGGTCCTAATGGGGTGAATCCTCCGATAGATAACCCGTAATTGATGTTGATTCCCAACCCCAAGATTAGGTTTGTAATGAATATTGAAAAGTACCCAGGTTGGGTCTACGACAAAGTTTTCAAGTATTCCTCTAAGTTTACTAACGAAGAACTATAAACTCGCTTCCTTAAAAGTACCGATATCGTTTAGTTCAAGTGTGGTGATATTCTGGAAGCCCAATGACCCTTGGAAGAGGAAAGGGTCTATTGAGAAGCCAGGGATGACGAAGTGTACTTCTTCTTCATGTATGAGTGTCACTTCAAACCATTGAATGCTTGACTTTCATTTGATCCTTTTACTACTAAAGTATTATCGTTCCTTAATGTGGCCCCTACATCATTTCATTCCAATAGTTGGGCTCTTTTGCAAGTAATGTGATTTGTTTTCAAGAGTTTGGATATATAGTCGACTCCTGTCATCTCTTTAAATTTTTATAAAACTCGACTCGGTGACGTGTTTGGATGGCTATCCTTAATAAGTCATGTGCATGGGGTCTTGTTTGAGCCATATACCACCACTTTCAATAATGAATATTTTAAGGTCTTACCAACTATAACGGGGAAAACTTTTTATGGTTTTGATTCTGGGGATAAAGAGAACTCAATTCCAAAATTTCCCTTTTACTAAACCTGAGAGCCACGAAGGTATAAGCTCTGGGAGCCAGATACCATGACTGCAAAGGAGCAGAAAACTTGGCAATAATTAAGCAATTGCCTCTACCCTTGAATACAAAAGAGATCTTGAATATCTTTATTTTTCCAAATGCAAAATAGAAACTAAAGAGTAAGTATATGATTTTTGGTTATGTATGCTCAACTATTATTGTATTTTACTAACTTGTGGTTTTTCCTTTGTAGAATTCATGACCAAAAAATTTAAACTTGACTGGAAAAGTGTCTGAAATGTAGTTTTTTGCCACCACTATGAACCAAGCTACCGAGAACTCGGCTACTGGGAATTCCACTCCTTCGACCACTCCTTCTAGGAATCCCCAACTAGTCCAATTGCAAAAGGGATTGCATAGGCCAACTCCTGTCATTACTGTTGATGGGTCGGCTACTGTGCCACCCTAAAAAAGTAAAGATGAACGAGAAACAAGACTTGAAGGCTCTCGTCAAACCAAGAAGTTGAGACCCAATGAAGGTACCTCTAGAGCAAACATTGCCCCCTCCATTAAGAACACAAATACATTTTTGGACACTGGCTTCGACCCTTTATGTGTGACGGATTTGATTACCCTCTCTTCGACCAATAAAGAGATGTTGAAAAAGATGAGTCTTGAGGTGGCATTTGCTATCTTCTGCGATCTACAAGCTCTATCTGGGTGATTAGGTAGTATCTCGGGACTAAGCTCTCTAAAGTTGGTGTAAACTTGAGTAACATCAACAAATTAAAAGTTGATCTAGAGGAAAGTTAGACCAATCTTCAAGAGACCTTGAAGGTCAATGACAACTTGTCTCACCAAGTTGGTGACCTTCAAAATCGAGACAAGTAAGCCAAGACTTAATTTTGGCGCTTGGAGGAGGCCTACAATGTAACCCCTTTCCAGATTACATATATTATTTGAATTAAATATTTAGAAATTAATAATATAAACAATATTATGAATAAGAAATAAATGAATAAATTAATTTGAATATCAAATAAAAATTTCTATTATACAAAAGTGATCATTAAATATTATAAACCATTTTTTTATACAAATATCATAACTTAATAAAATAAATCTCATCCTATGCTTTAGATTTTTGCATCCAAACTTAAAAATAATGATCAAGACTTTCTCTACAACTATCCTAAGCACAAATATATGAGTAAAATTAAACATCTAACTCGTACCTATTTCTCCAAGTTGGCTAGTTTTCTCCTAGTTTTCTTGATTTCTTTTTTTCTCTTTTTTTCTTCCTCTTATCTTTTTCCTTTCTTCATCTCTTTTTGAATTTTTAGTTGTTTACTCCTTGATTTTGACAAAGATGGAGTATTTTTTTTGTGTTTCTTTGGCTTGGTTTAGGTCTTTCTAAGGGTTGTTGATGAGCTTTTTGGTGTGATTTCTCCTATTTATACTAGTCTCAACCTTCATTCTTAAATCTTCTAGATTTATAGATATTTCTTAGTTATTTTAATCACATGGTGATTAGGTATTTTGTATATATTTATAGGACTTTCTATATAATTTTTAAAATTATTCAACTATATTAACGGTTAAGTTTCCAATCTATTTAATCAAATAGTGATGAGGTGTCCACTTTCTAGAATTCTGTAAAGTTATTTAGTTATCTTAATGGTTAAGCTTTCAATTCATTTTAATCACATGGTGATTAGGTGTCTTCTTTTTTTCTTTTCTAGAATTTTATAAAAGATCCTAGAATTTTGTAGAATTATTTAAATATCTTAATGGTTAAGCTTTTAATCTATTCTAGATTTCCATTTTGTATGATTTTGTAGAAATTTATAGTATTATTTATCTTAATAGTTAAGCTTCCAAACCATTTAATCATTTAGTAATTAGGTATCTACTTTGGAGAATTTTATAGAACTTTATAGAATTATTAAAGTATCTTACAAATTAATTATAGTTTGGAGAAACTAATATCATCATTAGAATCTTCACCATCAAAACATAAGATTAGGTCTCTTGATCGTCTCCTATTTATGCTAATTAATCTTAATTTAATTAAATTAGAATATGTTTATGCGTCATAATTTGATTGGTTGAGACTTGTATTTTAGTTTAATTTACCTAGACATCTTTATTAATTATTCTAAGCATACTACAATTGTGATAAAATTCTTTAGAACCTATTGAAAAATTTTCCTTGATTTTGTACCTTAATATTTTAGCAAAATAAATTTCCTAAGTTAAATCCTTACAAAATTTCTACAAATTCAAACATAGAGATTTTAATCCTTAAATGTATATATTCTTAATCTACACTCAATAAATTATAATTCAGGTTATAAATTACTAAAATTTTGTTAATTCGACTTTTTCACATTTTCCAACATTATTTGGAAAATAGTCAAATTGAACAACAAAAAACATGTCATTGAACTTAGAAAATCTTGTTAGATAATGCTACATAAATTTTATTCATAGTAACTTACATAATGTTTAATACATATGTATAACAATAAAACATAATAATTTATAGAAATTATATAGATAAATAGTTACAAAAATTAGGATGTTACATACAATAAGCTTGTTGCTGAGAAGAAGACACCAAAAAGTCACCTCCAGGAGATGATTAAGTATTTAGACAAAGAGAGGGCAAAGAAAGAAGCTTTCGAGGCCGATTTGGTGGAAGTGCAAAACCAAGTGTATAATAGCATGTGATTGTGATAGAATCATGCCTAGGAGGGTAAGAGGTGACATCTTGAAGGAACCAAGAGGAATGGGCTAGACATAAAGATTTGGGCTAGTCAAGGCCCCATAGGCCTGATGGGCCTAGAAGGCCCAATTTGTTCTTCACATGGGCCACACCTTGAGATAGCCATTTTCTTTTATTTTGTATATATTATATTAGTATAGGTTTCACATGTTTTGGTCTTATATTTTGGACCACATAGAGTAGCATTTTTGGGCCATAGGCTTATTGGGCCTAGTTTTGGGCTTCATGGGCCTTTGGGCTTTTGGTACCTAATATTGGGCTCATTTTGATTCTTGTAATTTTTTCTTTTGATTGTATTTGGTTGGTCATTGTATTTAGGCCATTAGAATAGGATTATGAAGGGAAATTTTAGTTAGGCAAAGTTAGTTAAAATTAAGGTCACATTTAGTTGTAATTTGAGTTGCATTTGATGTACATGGGCTAACCCACATGGTGCTGCACATGGACCACCCAAATCAACATGAAATTAACTCTAAATGCAACCTTAATGCACATGGAATTAGCTCTTGGACGTGCACATGGGGCTGCCAAGAAATTTGAATTTCAAATCCCATTTGAAATTCAAATTTTTGGTGCTAATTTTTGCTCCTTGAGTTGGCACCATTATGCTTTCTTCCTTAGCCTATAAATTGGACTTTTCTCTTCACATTTCAGCACTTTGAATCATTAATGAGATTTTTGAAAATTATTCAGCCAAGTCTCTCCTCAAAGTCACTCTCACCTAGCCTAGGTTCCTTTGAACTTTCTCTAGGTTTAGCACCTTTGTGAGTAATCCATTACTCACCTTGCTTTGGTGCTCCCTTCTTCTTCATTCTTCCTTTTTATTCACGTCATCAAGGTTCTTCCTAGCTAGAATTTTTGTCCAGCAACCTTCAAGGAGAAGATCAAGTGGCCGGAGCAAGCTTAAGGTGAAGAACATTCATCCTCCTCACCTAAGTTTACCATCAGATTGGGTTCAACAAGGTCGTCCAGCAGATCATCTCCTTCACCAATATGATAGAATTATTTGTGCTCACTATAGATAAAGATGTTTATGAAGGGAAAATGGTTGATATGGATGATTTGTAGAATGGGTATGGCATAGATTCAACCATTGTCCCCACTGTCCCTCCAAAGAATCACGAAGTTGTTGTTTAAGACACCCATGTCAAGGTGGTACAGAATGAAGATGCGATTGTGAATCAAGGATAGCTTGTAGTAGGGGGCCAGTAATGCCCAATTTTAATTATGTAATTCTTTTAATGAATTAATAGAGTTTACTTTTCTAGTTTATAATTTCCACACACTTATATTGTTATTATGTTTTTACTTGTCAATCAAGTAAATGTGTTAGACTGTAACTTTCTTGCACTTAGATTTTATGCTTTGATTTAGTTTACTTGACCAAGCACTAGTGTTTAATTGAGGTTTGGTTACCAAGATTTTATTTGGATTTTAAGTACTTGGCTAACAACTCGTACTCGACCAAGGTTTATAGTACCAAGATATTTGGGTTTAGTACCAAGGTTTTATACTTGAGTTTTAGGTATTTAGCCGAGAATTCATACTTAGACAAGGTTTGTAGTACCAAGATTTTATACTTGGGTTTAGTACTAAGGTTTTATATTTGGATTTTGGGTATTTGGCCGATAACTGGTACTCGATCAAGGTTTGTAGTACCATGATTTTATACTAATTAGGTTTAGGAAAAGGTTTTATACTTGGGTTTTAGGTACTTGGCCGAGAACTCATACTCGACCAAGGTTTATAGTATCAAGATTTTATACTTGGGTTTAGTATTAAGGTTTTATACTTTGATTTTATGTACTTGGCCGAGAACTCATATTTGGCCAAGGTTTATAGTAGCAAGATTTTATACTTGGGTTTCTCCATCTCTCTGATAGTTTCTAAATGAACTTGAACATAATATGAAGTAATGAATGCTTTATTGATAATAATAGTATGTCTTGTTAAAACCTCCTTGGCCAAAACCCTTTCTTTTTATGGGAAAAAGACCAATGGTAGGAAAGAGTACACATCTTACTACAACATGTAATACATTTAATTATAATAAAATTTAAGATGAGATGCATTCCAAGTCCTTGGGATCTCTTGGCCGGATAGGTACTCAAGCTTTTATGCTCTGTTATTTAGACTTTGAGTTACTTTGAAGGGTCCATCTCAATTTGAACAACTTTTCTTCAGTTGTATCCTTCCTAACTTTGCCCTGAACTCTCTACACCAAATCACCTTCTTGGAATGTTCTCTTAACTAGCTTAGAAACATGTCATTGGGTTGCTCTTCTATGACTTGCTTCTTGTTGGATATGAGCTCGGTTGTGTATAATATCAACCAAGTCAAGCTTAGTTCAATGGGAAGAGTCGTCATCATCTTGGTGAAAAATTATTCTAGGAGAGGCTTCTATGATCACTATTGGCAACATTAAATCAACACCATAGGCTAGTGGAAAAGATGTTTCTTGAGTACTAGAATGTGGAACACACCAGTAATTAGTAAACTTATAACAATTCTAACAACCCCTCAGCCCATGTACCCTTAGCTTTTCCTAGTCTCTTCTTTAATTCACCCAAGATGACCTTGTTGGTGACTTTTGCTTGACCAATTATCTGAGGATGTTCAACGAAAGAAACTCAGTGTTGAATTTTGAGTCCTTCAAAAAAACTCATTAAGTTGTCTATTCGTGAACTACCTATCATTATCGATTATAATGGTCTTAGGAATGCCAAAACAATATATAATATTTTTCCAAATGAAGTGTTGCACCTTCTTTGTCGTGATCCAAGTTACTGGTTCTGCCTCTATCTACTTGGTGAAGTAGGTAGTTGCCACCAACAAAAATTTGCACTAACCCTTGGCAGGATGAAATGGACCCAAGATGTTAATACCCCACATAACAAACGATCATGGTGATACTATGCTATGGAGATGCTCGGGAGTTGTGCGAATTAGGATGTCGTGTTTTCAGCATAGGATACACTTTTTCACATAATCAATTGTATCTTTTTGAATTGTTGGCCAGTAGTACCCAACTTTGAGTACCCCGACTACCATACCCCTCCTCCTAGTGTGCATAATGCAAATTCCGTAGTGTAATTCTTCCATGACATACTCAGCCTAGGTTTTGTTTACACATTTGAGTAAAGGGTCGGGAATCCCTTCTTGAAAAGCTCATCCCCAACAATATAGAATTTGGCGACTTGAAGCCTAAGTTTCTTGGCAATCGAAGGTATTTTTGGCATGAGGTTGTGCTTCAAATAATTAATGATGAGGGTCATACAGTTTTCACTGCCTTCAATTTACATGCTTCCTTCGTTAGATATGTTGGGCTCATTTAGAGTTTATTGGATTACAATTTTATGTTAGCCCGATCATCGAGTACTTGCCAACTTTGAGATAACATTAGCCCTAATATTCTCTTCTTGAGGTATATGCTCAATCTGGATTTATGAAAAGTGACCCTTCAATTTGTCAACCACTTGATACTATTTTAAAAGTTAAGCACCCTTGGTTTGATACTCACCTTTCAATTGTTGGACAACTAGTTGCAAGTCATTATTGCACAAGTGTTCCACCCCTATCTCCAAAGCCAATCTAATGCCCACAATAAGAGATTCGTACTCAACTTGATTGTCTAAAGCTTGGAATCTGAACTAAAGGGATTACTCAATGAATAAGCCCCTTGGTCCCTCCAAGATAATTTTGGCTCTGCTACCTTTCTTGTTAGATGAATTATCAATAAATAATGTCCATACTTGCCCGTATATTGGTCTAGTAGTCATTTCATTGATGAAGTCAGCCAAACATTACGTTAGTATGAGACATCTCAGTTGGTATGTGAGGTCAAACTCTGATAACTCCATGGACCAAGCAATCATTGTTCCTGCATTCTCTAAATTTGTAAGACTAGAATAATGTTATCACATAATACATGTATAATGTGCTCAAGATTAGAATATTCTTCTAATTGAAACTTCACCCGTAATAATTGTGAACAACATTTAGCTATATATAATATATATATATATATATATATTCTACTTTTAGAGTGGAGAAAGCTATTGAATTATGCTTTTTACATAATGATGAAATCAGACAGGGACCTAAGAAATGACATTCCACACTTGTGTTTTCTCTCTCAATATTGTCACTAGCATAGTCTGCTTCATTGAATTCTACTAACTTGAAATCATAATTTTTCTCATAGAACAAACTAAATTTAGTGGAACCTACAAGATATCTGAGTATGCATTTTACTACTTTGAGATGAGACTTTTTGGGATTAGACTGAAAATGAGCATATAAGCACATGTTAAATATGATGTTGGGCTACTAGTAATCAAGTAAAGGAGTGAACCAATCATACCTTTATAGATCATCTTATCTACTAGTTTACCTTATTCAAAGGTTGAGCTCTGATATCAAACTATGGAGAAAAGAGAGACACTAGAAGGGGGTTGAATAGTATCAATCAAAAACTCACACTTTTCAGAAATAGTGAAGTAGTAACTTTACAAAGAAGTGCAAATGAAGAGTTTAGAGACTAAACACAGGAGATTTTTATACTGGTTCATTTCAACCACTGAGATTACATCTAGTTCTTGATCCAACCAGATAAGTTCAACTATCTTATACAAAGATGCAAGTATATTTTTTTCAAAACCACTTCTAGCTCAAACTTAAGTTTTCTTTGACTTGTCCCTTCAAGCAACTATCAAAGTATTCTTTCAACATAAAGTTTCTCTAAGCTTTAATAACCAATTATTCTTTTGACACAAAGCCTCTCCAAGCTTTAACAACCAAGTATTTTTTTTTACAGTTAAGTTTCTCCAAGCTCAAAATAATAATACTAAGTTAAACATACACAATCATACATGTGTCTATCAAACTAAGTACTTTTTCTAGCTATTTTTAAAGAAATAGTTGAGTCTTTTATCTATGAACTACCTACCGTAATCAGGCACTGTTGTTTTGGGGATTCCAAAATGGAAAATAATGTTCTTCTAAATAAAGTGTTTCACATTCTTTGTAGTAATCCAAGCAAGGGGTCCCACCTCAATCCACTAGGTGAAGTAGTCAGTTGCCACCAAGAAGAATTTACACTCGACTTAGTACTTTATTCGCAAAACTTTTCTCTAGAAAAACTTCCATGTTTGTTGACATTAAAATTTGAAATCCTAAGGGTTCTAATATTATCTTTTGGCCTAACAATCTCCCTTTTTTTAATGATGACAAACATGTTTTTGAAAGAAAGAAAGTTTTAAGCATAACAAATTTGTTTATAAAAGAAAGACAAACAATCCTTTTCTTAAAGACTTTTGAAAAGAGATTGTATGATCAGATGAAATAATAACTTTGAGAAAAACATTTTGTGGATTTTATTTGAAATGGGTCAAATTTCCAAAATTATTACGAGGGAGATTATGTGTCAAGTGACATCGATTGTCCCATGGAAGAGGCCTATGGGGTCAAGTCATAGTCGAGACACATGACACTTGGGTTGCTATAGTTAAGTAGAAAGAGTTGCACCCTAACTATTAGCTATAGCTTTTTGGCCTAGTGGTAAACACTTGATCCAACAATTAGTATCAAACCCAAGGTCGCATGCTCAATTTCCAATGGGAGCAATTGTTGAGGGAGAGATAATTTGTCAGGGGGCATCAATTGTCTAGTGACGGAGGCCTAGGTAGATCAAGTCATAGTCGAGATATGTGGCACTTGAGTTGTTAGGTTAAGTTGAAAGAGTTGTATTTTAACCATTAGTTATAGCTTTTGGCCTAGTGGTAAGCGTTTAATCTAATAATTGTCTCAATATAATTATACAAGATGTTATAATATATGGTTGTTGTAAGGGTTGGGATGACCAAATAAAATTAGCCTAACAAAGGGTGAGGCCTTTGATTTATGGGTTTTCCAAAATCCAAAAGAAAGGGTTTGAATAACTAGACTAACCCTTAGAAAAACTTAAAACTCATTTATCCTTTAAACTCGCCCTTAACACCTAAAGCTATAAAATATGTCCTAAAAGAGGGAGGGGATTGACGCATAAGAGAGAAAAAAATTAAGGAGATCTTACTCCTGTGCATAAGCTTATACTCTTACACATTCCTTGTGTAGGACAACCTAATGTATTATGACCTTTAAAACCATTAATACTAATCCCGTGGCTTGCAACCCCTTCTTTAGCTTTGAATTTCCTAGAATCATCCTAACTTCTCTATGATTAGGGAGATTTATGGTGTTGATTCATATTATGTTGTGTATTAAGGGTTAGGGTCATATGTATGAATTGGAGATGCTTGTGTAATTGGATGAATTTGAGTGAATTGGTGTCAATTGCTTGTTCTATAAGTGTTATATAACTAATTTATTGATTGATTTGAGTGAAGGAACATTTTGGTGGATTCAGATGCATGGGTGTTAGAGACTTTGGATTGCGAGGCTTGCAATTCTGCAAAGTGCAAAATCTGCAACAAACTCTTAGGTTGCCTTGTATTAGAGTGCCTTTTGGTGATATTAGAGATTTAGTACCACATGCATGTCGAGTTAGAAGCATATGTCACTTGTCTTTAATGTGTGTGTGTAAATGAGTGTGATTCAAAATTTAATGAGTTGAATGACATACCATGAGATTTGAGTATTGGATGATTTATGTTGATATACTCTATGGTTGTAATTGTGTTAATGTTGCCTATATATCTTATATGTGCTACACGTGGATGAGATATATTCTCACTCCTTTGTGCTTGTTTTGTTGCTTTTGTTTGGGTTGACCATCATGCAGGAGTAGAGCAATATATGAGGTTAGACATGAGGGAGAGGAATCTTAGTGCTTCAGTTGGTGTTTTGGAGTCTTACTCTAATAGTGTGATATTGGAGTTTGAGAACCTTGTTATGTTTTCTTTAGTTATAGATGGAGTTTACTTGTTTAACGATGTTTTATGATTTTTGAGGTTTTGTAAAAAACTAGTTTGTGCCTTGGTTTATCAACTTATATAATGTTTATTTCCCTTTTATACTAAGTAGTTTTATTAACAACGTATGAACCCTTTTACAATACAGATTAATTTAGTTGTTTCTTATTATATTTTTAATTAAATGTATTTTCTTAATGATTTTTTATAATAAATGCTTTGAAGGTAGAAGGGTGTAACAATTGTAGTGGATTAAATAAAGGTATGAATTGATACTAAACCTCTCCCCACACACATATTTAACTAATTCAATTATTGATTATATAATATTGCATTCTTGGTCATAGATATCAAATTTTGCAAGATATGAACTTTTTTAGATATGTTATATAATAATGAATGTTTACACACACACACACGCACGCACGCACACACACACACGCACGCACGGACGCACACACACACACAAACACACACACACACACACACACACACACACACACACACACACACATACACACACACACACACAGATATATACATATACATATAGATATATACACGAGGAAGGATCTACTTATCTTAAGTATATTTACTCTACTCAATAATGCACAAATTTTTTAATGCACAAATTTAGTTTACAATTTTTAAAAAAAAATAAAATTATTTGAAATATTGTTTCATCAAATTTGTTTCATTACTTAAATTTCAAACAAATCCTAAAAATAAAAAATTAAGTTTTTAAAAATTTAAAGTAAAAATAAATAGAAAATCAATAAATATATATCATTCACATTCTTGTATCAAATTTAATAAATTAAATATTAATCGTATTTATACTCGAGTATGATAAACTAAATATTTTTCATTAAAATTGAAACTATTTCAGAAATTATTTACATGTACATATTTACTAAAGCTAGGTGAGATGTAGTAATTGGCTAATAGCATTATTTTGACCTTTAAAACCGAAAGAACATCGGAGTCAATAGTCAACCCACAAAATTCACCATCAGTTTGTTCAATTTCTTGTTGGTTATTCTTTGTCGGATAAAATCCTTCCCTGGGTCACAGCTGTAATTAAAGAGGATCAAATAGGCTTAGTTTCACAAACAACTCAAATGTACTTATAATAAGCTATAAATGTTTCATTTTTTTTTAAATTACATTTTTAATAGTTTAAATCATTAATTTTTTGATAAAAAGTTGGAATAATCCAAAAGTAGTTCAAAAATAAAAGTCTTACTAATACCCTAAATAAGAACACCCACCGGTTAATGATTTAATACGCAGATTTTTTATATTAAAAATTACATAAAATTATACAAAAAAATGCATAGATATATTTTTAATAAAAAATATTTTTAATTCTTTAACCATTACTCTTAAGACAATGGTTAATATCTTCCTAAAAATATAACTTCTTTCAAAACAATCTTGAAAAATTAAAATAAACTCCTAAACTAATTTAGTTAATTCTAAAATAAAAAATGCCGGACTACTTTAATTATTTACGCTAAATTTCTTTATCGCTTCTTATTATCGTGACAATTCATATATAATAAAATGTTTTATATAATAAAAATATACAAAAAAAAATTATAACAAAATAAAAAAAAGAAGGAAAAATAAAGATAATAATATTATAATAAATACAACGAAAAGATAAATTTTACACATACGATTAGTTAAATATTTTTAACATCAGTTTTTGATTGTTATAACATGCATTGTTTGTAAAAGTTTGTTTTTATATGTTTAATTAATTAAAAAATAATTTTAATATGAATTTCAAGATTGTTGTTATAAGTAGTGTGAGGTGTGGCTGACCTTAGAGGCAAGGAAGGAGGGGTTGGCATGGGCATTGCCTTGTGTGCGAGCTGAACGGCGTCGTTGTGGGTGTTGATGACGTGGTTGAAGCACAAGTAGCGACCATAGGAAGAGACATGTTCGTAGACGCAGATGTGGGTATCCACCAAGATAGGTAAATCAACGGTCACCAATACACCATCTTCGTACATCTCCGCCGCTCCTCTGAGGTAGGGATTTTTGATGCACAGATCACCGTCCATCAATAACCCTGCGTTGATGGACACCATGTTCACCCCTCTGTCCATTGCAAGAGCCCACGCTGTTCTCTCTGCCATCGTCTTTGACATCCCGTGCCATAACTATATAATATCTTCATTTCTTAATTCATCATCACTTCAAACATTTTTCAGGTATCGTCATATTGTGCCTTAAATCGATTTTTTATTTCTCTAAGTATAATTGTTACATTATTTTCATATTTTTTAATGAAATAATTTTAGTGTTTTAAATATCATAATTATTTAATAATTTTTAAAATATTATAATTATATAAATCTTTGTCTATTTAAGTTATATGTATTAATAATTTTAGTAAAAATAAACAAATATTATTTAAAACGTGAATAAAAATTATAATATATATAACTTAATTAAATAAGAAAAATTATATAATTGTGATACTTGATGAATTAAATCAAACAAGAATTCGTTTGAATAAATAACTTATTTAAGATCTTATATAATAAGCTCTTATGTAATAAGAATTTATATTATAAGTGCTTAAAATTCAATAAGTTGTTACATTTAAATATATATGTTAATAAGTATTTATAAGTGTTTAAATGTATTGTTATTTAAGTATTTGTAAGATGTTGTCTCATTTAAAAAATTAAAAAATTACAACTTAAATTTTAACTAAAAGTAAAATTAAAATATAAAATGTAACTAATTTTTTTTTAAAATGACATTATACATCACAATAATATTAAAAATGATAATAAAAAATTATTACTCATCATTCACCTCATTTTAATTTATAAAAAAATAAAATTAATAATAAAATATGAGAAATTAATTATATATATAATCATGATTAAAAATTAAGAGTCATAAATTTTAAAAATTAAAAATCAAGTCTATATATTTTATAAAATAATAACTAAATAAATTACGTGATTTTTTTTATAATAGGAGAATGTAGATTTTAGAGGAAAGAGATAGAAGAAAAAAAATCAAAGAAGAGAAAAAAAAACACTTTTAAAAAAAGAAATAATTTTTTTTTGGAGAAAGTAATGAAAATATATATAATTAATTTTTAATGAAGAATTAAAAATTAAAAGAAATTATTTGCATCGGTGACAATATTCAAACTTTGATATTTTTTTATAAATTTTTACATAAACTAAGTAATAAGTTAAATTACACAACTTATTAAATTAAGTTCAAAATGTTTTATGGGTTACTTATAAAATATTTTATAATTTTGTCCTATCACTCTTATAAGTAATTATAAAATAAGGTAAATACAAATAAATTATTCATAAACTCTTTTAAACAAATCTAAATATATACCTGAATTACTAAAATTATTTAATTAAAAATGAGAGATCAAAATCATTCAATTACGATATTTAAAAAATTAAAATTGTTGAATTAAAACTTTAAAAATAGAAATTGCTTAATTCAACCTTGTATTAATTATTATTATTATTATTATTATTATTATTATTATTATAGATGTTATCATAAACTAGTGTATATATATATACCTTGAACTTACGACAGAAATTGACATCACTCCAGTGTTTCTCATCCAAGTCATATTCCATGGACTTGCGATCCTCCCTCCAAACGACGGCAGTTGCGGATGAAGTGAAAACCACTTTGTCTATGGATTCTGTTTGAGCGCATGCTTCGACCACATTGTGTGCTGCTCTCACTTCTACGTCTGCTATGTATTCCTATAATAATAATAATAAAACTTAAATATATTTTTACTCCTTTAAATTTAGAATAATTTTATTTTTAAATTTAAAATTGTTATTTTTAGTCTTTATAATTTTAAAAAAATTATTTTATTTTTTATATTCAAATTTTATTAAAAAATTTATCAAATATTATTATATAAAATCTACCTATTAGTGTCCCTATTAATGAAAATATCACATTAAATCTAATTAATATTACATAAATAACTGACTTAATTAGTCACTTTCAAATATATTATTAGTGATCTACGAACTAAAACAATACTTTTAAAAATTATAAGAACTAAAAATAACAATTTTAAATTTGAGGAACCAAAAATAAATTTGGGACTAAAAACATATTTAAACATAATAATAATAATCAAGACAAGTGTCACGTACTGTACACTCATTTTTGGACAAAATTCTAATTCAATGAACCTATAATAACTCTTTGCACCTTTTGGCTCAAACTTTGGTAAAATAACATTATTAGGAATAGGATTGACCTAATTAAAATAACAATGCTATAACTTTTCTTCGCCCAATTTTTGCTTTTGCCCCCAAAGTCGGGTCCAACATTGCTTGCAATAACTTGTTATTATGATGTTAAACAAATAATAAGAATATTTTATTGTTATTCATACAAATAAAAATAAATAAATAAATGTTGTTTTAAAATTATATCCAGATAAAATACTAAAAGTTGGGGGTTCTCTTTGAAAATCTGTTACATGGTTGTTTTTTAGATTAATTTATATTTCGAATAGAAGTATTTTTTATAAAACATTTTGAGAATGTCTTAAACAAACATTTCTCATGCTTATACTCTAGTAGTAATAAACGAAGCAAAACACTAGCATAAAATTTAAATCTTATAACATCAATTTAATATTTTAAGTCATTTGAATTATTATATGTATTTTCATTGCATGAAAAGTCTCTCCGCTTGATACTACTACAAAAATTGAAGTGACTTAAAGAGCTAAAAGTATAATTGTTGAAAATAAGCAAATAATCGCCATTTGGATCGACAACCCAAGTGAATGACGATGACACAAATTCGATATTATTCGACTAGGGAGGATTAAACAGCTAGTGCACTAGAAAAGGACCAACATTGTTTTCTTGTCATGGTCTTCGTGCGTATTCAAAATCACGAAGAAAAGGATTAGAATAAGAGGAGGGAGTGGTGAACCCACTGAAAATTAAAGTGGGGAAATAGATATTATTGGAGTTACCAAGGGAAATGAGATGGTGAAATAGGAAAGTCATGCAAACTATGCCTACCACATTCACCCCTTCAAAGGAAATACTTACTCCCCTACCTACATACAATCTCTAATATTTCTCCCAAACCAGCATTCCCACCCCATAAAAGCTATAGGTATTAATTCTTCTAAACACTTTTAAGGTGATGCTTGTTTCTAATAGTCTTCCCGGGCAAGGGGAGGAATTGAATAACAAGAAAAATAGATGAGAATTGATGTATAAGAAATATAGTGAAATTTGTAATTAATTAGTCGAGTGAAATTAGATGTGAAATAGAAGAAAGTTGATGTTTTAAAATTTTATTATATATTTTTATGTAGTTAATTTTTTGTGTAAAAATAAAATATATATAATTACCTTTTTATTCTTATCTCTTTATTTACATAACCTAACTTCTTTAATGTATAGGTATAATGCATTACTATTCTACCTTAGAGTATCTACAATAGGAGTTGTTTATAAGCAACTCTCATCCACTTTAAATAGATCTCACACTGTCATGTCACTCATAAGCAACTTATATTATATTTTTATAATTTTTATTCCAATGAAAGTTACTTATAAATACCTCCACTTTTTAATCACTCATACTTCTTTTTTAATAAATTTTAAAAAATTTAATTATTATAGTTGTTGACATCAATGCAAGAAAGAAATATTAAATTATTTTTTTATTCTTAAGCAACCGTCTCTTATATAAGTAACGGTGCTTAAATTTTAACAATTTGACCTGCCATGTCAGCATATTCTAATACCGGTTTCTTATAAATAATAGGAGCTTAAACTTAAGAACCGGATAAGAACTTAGCATTGGAGATGCTCTTATAAGAATATGGTGATTTTGAGGATGATAATTATATAAACATAATGCATTACATTCTACCATAATTATCTTTCTCTCTTTATTCTTCCCAATTCAGTACATTATGGTAGCATTCACCATTTAGCAAGTCACGAGAATTCCACTCCAATTCCTTCATCCTAATGGCCTAGCAGGTAAATTTAAACAAGTGGGATCCTCCTATATTTCTTCACAAATCCACCCTATTAAGTGCAATTGTTTTTTTTTTCTTTCTATATTACCCTATAATCCATCTCCTTTCCCTTAAATACCCTCTAAATCCACTCTCAAGCGCAGTGTAAATGTTTTTGAATATCATTGGATTTGGCTCGATACATCCTTTGTTTATTATCAACCGGATCTTGTCTAAACAAGATTCATTGTTTTCATAATTTATTCTTTTATAATTTTTTTAGTTGTCGAATAAAGTTATCCGATATATCATCAAAACTTCTGTGATAAAACTAAATTTATTGCAGATATGTAATTATAATATTTATATCTTTTCTAATAAATTTATTCTACAACAAATCTTAAATTATATATAATAAAATAAATTAAATGAATAATAAATTCGGTACCTAATAACTAACAAGAAATAACATATTACATACATGATAATGTGACTTAATTAAACTTATATAAAAAATAATAATAAAAATTAGACCGACAAACTAACCAAACTATTCAGCCTTTTAATTATTTAATCTAATGAATTAATGAATTAAGCGGATAGACAGATCAAGATACCTCGTTTAACCCGTCAATTTTCAAGGACTAACAAACTAGCTTATGAATTGTGACTTGTTTGTCATCTTTATTCAAAACTTTTGTAATGGAATTAATTTTATGTTAAAATAAAAGAAAAAAACAAGGTTATAAAATTTGGACAAAACTTATATTGAGTTCCATTTCCACAAGTAAATTTTATCCAATTCTCTAATCAAAATTGAAATTCTATCCAAAATAATTCGCACAATAAAGATTTACTTTAAAGAATTATTTAGATTATCAAAACAATTCCATCTTCAATTTGATGACAATACAGACTTTCCCCATGAAATTGAACGTAACTTTTGTCAATTTTGAAATTTAATCACAGCGACAATTGTGGTTGCACTGTATTTATATATTCATCATTTTCAACAATACTATTAACTGCGGCCACGGGGTTGCAGTTTAAAATCATGTAGAGAATAAGCTTAAAAGACGATGCAATTTAAAGTGAAATCATGCAAGACACATACTTAATTCCCAACTCCCATTAGAATGAGAATGGCCAAGAACAAAGAAGAGGTTACTGATACTTACATCATAGTTGGGTTGATCCTGAGGAGGCTCAAATACATAGAACAAGCCAGAGCAGCCTCTAAGAGCATCGATTATGCTATGGTAATCAAAAGGGTCCGAACGAAAAATCTTGAGCCTATTGGGATCAGCAGAAATCCCATTGAATTGTGCTATCCCAAAGCAAAAACAAATTCAATTTCAACGCACCAACACATGCAAGGAAAAAAATAGCTAGTAGTAGCAACAAAAGGCCAATAACAGGTACCATGTGACTGAACCGAGGCATGGACGATGTATCCCCTTTGAAGCAGCCGGTGAACGAGACTGGTGCCTAACTGGCCCGAAGCATCCATGACGCAAACCGTGTTTGAAGTTTGATGGAACGAGGGTGCCATAGATAGGAATATGTTTGGTGAAGAAATTAATGAAAGTGAGAAACAGAAGAGGAAGTGTTTAAGAGGGTGTGATTGAAGGTTGAGAAGGTGGGTTATAAATAATAAGGGAGAGTAGTGGCATTCAAAGAGTGTGTAGGGTAGAAAGGTAGGAGGTAGTTGCGTTGTAGAGAGAAGTGGCATGGATGAATATATATAGAAGACCATTAGAAGGTCACCGGGTGGCGTAACTGGTTTTTCAGCAGTGATAAATGGAGTTTGGTGGGAGTGTGCGTGGCAAGTTTATGCACGTAATTAAACTTCCAGAATTTTATCCTATCAACCATATTAAATACAAATTAATTCAAGCTTGTGGTTTAGCGATAAAGATTAATTCATATTTAAGTAAGGTCAGGGTTTAAATCTTAATTTTGGGACCACTTATCCCATCTTTTAAAATGCCTCCAACGTAGCGAGGAGATTAATCATTGCTGTTAGCCTGGATACTCCAGGAACGAAAAAAAATATTAAATACAAATTTTTAGTACAAGTGTTTTTGAAAACTTTTTTTTTAATATGAAAGAGTTCTTAGAATCTTATTTTAGTTTTTTTTTTATCTAATTTAATTTTTATTTATTATGATTATTTATAATTAAATTTTAATATTTTAAATATAATATAAATTATTTATCATAAATATAAAATATAATTTATCATATACTTTTAAATACGATTTAAATATATAATTTATTATCAATTTTAGTTATATATAATATATATTTTGTTTGTAGTATAAACTAAAATATTAATTTTTCATTGAAAAAAGTAACACCAATTTTCGTATGAATTTGGAAGGCCAGTTATATTACCCCTGAAAAAAAATCGTAAAAATAAATTTTAGGGTGTAAATTGTTTTAGTTAAAAATTTAAAAATGTGTGATTAAAGTGACGATAATAACATACATTGAGATACAATAAGATAGCATGTTTTAGTCTCCTTTTAAAAACATTGAAAACAAAAAGAATATTGTCATTAAGTATAAATCATATGATATATACCACATCATATATCATATACCATATCATATATAAATACATTACGCATCTATAAATAAGTTTAAATTACAGGTGTGTGTCATCTTTTATAGATGTTCAGATGACATATGTTACGTTTCAAGAAGTTCGAATATGACGTGCGTGTTACGTTTACATAAATTTAAATGACATGTGTCACATTCGTATGATGCTATTATTATGATTATTATTATTATTTAATTGTCATTAATTATACAATAAATAAAATTAAAAATTATATTAAGAAATAATTAATTATAACATAATTCATGAAAATTAACATTTATGGTATAAAAATAATGGTCACTTTCATTTTCTAATTATAAAATTAATATAATAATTATATAATTAAAATATTTTAAAAAAATATATAAATAATTATAATTAATATATATACTGAATAAAAATAATTAAAGTAATTTTTTATCATTGTCAGTTTTAATTTCTTATTTTAAAGTATATATTCTGATGATTACTTTCAAGCGTCTAATTATAAAATTAATATAATAATTTATAATTAAAACATCTAAATTATGTAAATAATTACAGTTAATATATATATATATAGTTAATTAATAAAAATATCTTTTTAAGTAGGTTATATTTTTGGATATTCCTTGTATGCCCTCTCTGAGTAGAGGGTTTAGGTGTCCTCTATACAACCAACCAATGAGGTATTGTCATGTGGCAACTTATTCCATGTCATCCAGGATGTTGAAGATCTGACCAGAAATTGGATGGCCTTTCCCTATAATCCAACAAACCAGCCCGAACTTAGGTTCCCCTCTTTTGTCCATTTCGTAAAAGCATGCTACCTCATCTTCTTTCCATTCACACATGACTCCATCTTCTTCTCTTAAGCGAAGGTTGTCTCTTTTCCTGTGACCATGTTTCCTTTGATTCGTTCTTGTGTCTCCGTTTCCATCTTCTTACCATGGATGTTCTTCTCTTCATCAAATGTTGTCTCCCTTACCCTATCTTTGTTTCCATTTGAAAACCTTGCAACTTATTCTCTTCATGAAAGCTTGTCTCCATTTCCACTTGAAATCCATTTGAGGTCAGAAAAATCTTAGCTGATTTTCTAGTTTTGTGTCTCGTTCCCGTGGATAGGCACCCCAATTTTGAAGTGAACAGTTAGTGGTAAGTTCAATTTTGTTTGATTAAGTTGTAATAACTTTGTAGTTGTGCTTGGATTCTCTTTAATTCGCTGGTCATCTGGTGTTGCTTTGATGGATAACGTATGCATGAATATTGTTTGATTTATTTGGTCAATTGTTAAGATTCATATTGTTATGTGATTTTGTTAGGGTTTTGTTTTTGGTTGATTTAGTAAGTATCGATAACTTATGTAGTTGTTGTTCGTTGTGAAGGCATTATTATGGATTGTGGATTGAGGTGATAAAAAAATATTGTAATTTATTATCGCAATTTGATAGTGTTATGATTGTGGCGTCGTAATTGTTGTTTTATTAATGTGGTTTGGGAATATTTGTGACACCCTTTACCCAACATACATATAGAAAAATTATAAAAACAAAAACATATTTTTGGGTTAAATAAAATCTTTAGAATTAAAACAATAGTTCCATTAACATAAGAGTAGAGAATTCACATTCGTAAACTTAAATCATGGTCAAATGCGGAATTTATTACAAAAAGAAACATGAGTTTTTCTAAAACAAATACAATAATGAAATCCTAAACTAAGCCTAGTTATACCCCGATGTCACATATCCTATCAGAGCATGTCCAATTGAAGCCTAAGTCTTATCACTAACATCCTCATGCTGACGATCACCTGCAACATAATTTAAACACATACAAAGAACAACAAGGGAGTGAGAAACATCTCACTCGGTTCCAGATGTAGAAATAACAGTTAGGTAACACACACACAAATCATACAATCACAGTCATAGCTACTCATTGATCAGATGCAAATTCAATTTTTACGTATAATACATACAAAGTCATTCATCATGCAAGGATGTCATGGACTCGACTCATAGATGTATGCATGTGGCGCCAGTCACGTGTCTCATAATCATACATCATAGCTTGTTACATCATTGGTGACCCTAAGGTACACTTTGTTAGCTTGTTACATCATGGGTGACCCTAAGGTACACCTTATTAGCTTGTTACATCATGAGTGACCCTAAGGTACACCTTGTTAGCTTGTTACATCACCAGTGACCCTAAGGTACACATTGTTAACTTATTACATCATGAGTGACCCTAAGGTACACCTTGTTAGTTCATATATGCACATGATGCATGTCACACGTTCACAAACTCATGGACTCATCACTTCACTTGTCATGGAATTTCACGTCTTATCACATTTCACATTCTCATAGTCATAGCTTATCTCATCTCATCACATTTCACATCCTCACAGTCATAGTGTTCATATTAGCACATTCTCATTCATATCATGTCTCATGTTATTTGTTCATATTTCACACAATCATACTCATAATTGTTCCTCATAAGGTTTCACACAGGAACCCACAGAACACTCTAATTTATATCAAAACATATCTAATTTTGAAATCAAATATATATTTACACTCTACATCACACAAGGAACGGAACAGAGCATTCAAAAAGCAAAACAGAAAACATTCATATTTTGCCTATTTCTCATAGGGTTCTCTCAGGAACCCACAGAGCACTATAATTCATATCAAAACATATTTATTCTCAAAATTAATTACATATTCACAAATTACATCCAACATGGAACACAATAGAACAATCATAAGACAAAATAGAAAACATTCATATTTTGCCTGTTCCTAGAAGCATGCATCAGGTAAAGGATTGGGGGCCAATCCTACTACCCAACAATTATTCCCACATCCCCAAGCGAGGTTTCTCACTCCCCTCTTACCTGGATAAGCAGAAGATGAAGCTAGAGCAGAATCTGGCTGATCTCCTTCTCTTGGTTCTCCTTGGTCTCGAAAGAGTGTGTCTAGAAACAGTGCTAGAGTGCTCTATTTATAGATTTCAAGAGTGGGCAGAACGGCCCGTTTCGAATCTAGAATGGCCCGTTCTGGATCCTTTCAGCATGTGTAAAATTTGCATCTGGAACGACTCGTTCTAAAACCAGAATGACCCGTTCTGAGTTTGCGTTGTAACACACAACAGTCATACTTGGAACGACCCGTTCCCAACTTTGGAACGACCCATTCCCAACTAGGGTTATAGATAGGCCATTTTGGTGGTTTGGAACGGCCCGTTCCAGTTTGGAAACGACCCATTCTGGGCTACCAAAAATATGTATTTTTAGTAGTTTGGAACGGCCCGTTCCAATTTTAGAACGACCTTTTCTGGACTACTAAATTACCCTCAATAAATCTTATGCAAATTACTAAATTACCCTCCATAAAATGTATAAAAACTAGGGTGTTACAATATTTGTTGTAAGCATTATTGCTTATGATTATGATTGTCGATGTTTATATTAAGAACATATTTATAATTGTCAGAAATTACAAATAGAGAATTCTACATCATCACATACAAGCAGGATTACGTTATCCACATTACCAAGGGAAATGTCGGTATGTTATTGTGGTATTCGAAGTAAGATACAATACTCAAAAACTCGTAAGAATCTAGGGAGAAATTTTTTTGGTTGTGGAAGATATAACAGGACAAATAGCCATTGTCAATTTTTTGAATGGTGCAACGAAATGGATCAAATGGAAGAATTAGTAACAATAGTCTTTGGGCATATTTGTGATATATCTGAGTTGCAGGTTAAAATTGACAAGTTGAGAGAGGTGTTAAATCTTACAAATAAGAAGGTAGAAGTTGTGGAAGAAATGGTGATGGGTGTTTTGAAGATGGTGAAAACAAATGAGGAACAAATTTATTATGGTTTGGATCATAGTATTTGTCTTGACTGGAATTATAATGATATGAAGAACAATTATGAAATATTGTGATTAGTTTGATTTAGTATTAAATATAATGTACATTTATGTTATTTTGAAGTTTGATTTAGTATTAAATGAAATGTATGTTTATGTTATTTTGAATCCCAAGTGTATGGCAAATTAGTTTGAAAATACGCAGGAAAAAATGATGGTTTGTTGAAAGGTTATTGGGTTC